GTTTGGTGCGAGCTTGAAACACGGGATTATGAGCAAGTGCTATTGCTGAAACATTATCACAATAAAGAGATGTAGGAGCTGAAATGGGAAATTGGAATTCAGCTAGAAGTCGCCGAATCCATATAATATCGGTAGCGGCAGTAGCTAGCGCCCGATATTCTGCTTCCGTAGATGAACGAGCAACTGTAGATTGCTTTTTAACACACCATGAGATAATAGTGTCACCGAGAAACAAACAGTATCATGTAGTAGACTTTCGATCAAAAGGATCCCCCGCCCAATCCGAATCGGCATAAGCTCGCAAATCAAACAAGTTAGGACTGATTTGAAGACCATAGTCTACAGTACCCTTAATATACCGAAGGAGATGCTTTAGGGACTGGAAATGATGTTGCAAAGGTGTATGCATGGATTGACAAAGCAAATTGATAGCATACGCTATGTCCGGACGGGTAATCGTCAAATACTGTAATGCTCCGACAAGTTGTCAAAATAATTCTGGATTTTCAAACGGCTGTAATGCAAGAGCATTAACCGGCTGTTTAACAGGTAATGGAATGCTTACCGACTTGCAATGATCCAGGCCTGTACGGTGTAACAAATCCAGAGCATATTTCGATTGGCAGAGGTGATATCCTTTCTCATGAGGAACGGCTTGAATGCCAAGAAAATAGCTAAGGCCGCCAAGATTACGAATCTAAAATTTTTGATGAAGATTAGCCAACAATTCAGCAAGAAGAGCTTGATTATTTCCGGTGACCAAAATATCATCCACATATACAAGAAAATATAGAAAAGAGGAGTTATGATTGTATAGGAGCAAGAAGGGGTCGGCTTCACTGTGTTTAAAACCCCAATTTTGTAAATGTGTAGTTAACTTAGCAAACCATTGACGGGGTGACTGTTTGAGTCCATAGATTGCCTTTTGTAATATGCAAACGTATTCCGGATACTGAGGATCTTTAAAACCGGGAGGTTGATGCATGTAGACAACCTCATTTAGCTCACCATGTAAAAAGGCATTTGAGACATCTAGCTGAGTTATGGGCCACTGATTGTGAACTGCAGCTGTAATGAAAAGACGAATAGTGAGTAATTTCGCCACTGGACTAAATGTCTCATTGTAATCAATGCCATATTCTTGGCGGTGACCTTGGGCCACCAAACGAGCTTTATGTCTAGCAATTGAGCCATTAGAGTTTCTTTTTGTTTTGTAAATCCATTTGCACCCAAGAATGGTTTGAGAGGTTGGCAGGGACACTAGAGACCATGTGCCTTGTTGTTGAAGAGCTTAAAACTCAGCAGACATAGCATCACGCCAACATTTGTGTTTACTGGCAGCCGAAAAACATGTAGGATCCGGTTCGTCAACTAGTAAGTGTTGAAGATTAAAAACAGCTTTTGGTTTCAACGTTCCAGTTTGCAGCCGAGTCACCATTGGGTGTCTAATAGGTGCTGGTGGGATATGAGATGTGGAGATCGGAGACTCAAGTGGTTCAGGATAGGTTGAGGTAGAGGGATGCTCGATAGGATTATGTGATAAAGGAATAGAATTTTGAAAACAGAGCGGATCAGATGCCTGTGCTGAAGAGTTGAGATTGGAAGAGGAGTCCGCACTTTGTGACGGTGCGGGATAAGGGACAAGTAACAGAGGAGTAGAGAGCTCTGTAGTAGGTTGTTTAGACGGTGGTGAGATAGAAACCGAGGACTGAAAAGGAAATAGTTTTTCATGAAATTGAACATGACGACTGATTAAAATTTTATGATTATTGAGATGATAGCAACGATAACCTTTATGATTATTGAGATGATAGCAACGATAACCTTTATGATTTGAGCTATAACCAATGAATACACAAGCTGAAGATTTTGGAGCGAATTTGTGAGGAGCAGATGGTTGAAGCCATGGATAACACAAGCATCCAAAAACTTTGAGATGCGAATAAGATGGAATATGATTGTATAAGTTTTGAAAAGGAGACACAGAATTTGTGTTGTGAGATGGGAGACGATTGATTAAGTATATGGCTGTTAGTACCGACTCAGTCCAAAAAGAAATTGGAAGGTGAGCCTGTATTAACAGAGTACGAGCAGTTTCAATTATATGGCGATGTTTACGTTCTGCTATACCATTTTGCAGTGGCGTATGAGGACAGCTAAATTGATGTAAAATGCCATGGGAAGAAAGAAAATTTTTAAATTGTAAGCTAGTGTATTCACCACCGCCATCCGATCGAAAAATTTTAATATGTGTAGAAAATTGTTTTTCCACCATGGCTTTGAAATGAGCAAATTTGGAAAATACTTCAGCTTTAGTAATCATAGGATATAACCATGTAAAACGAGAAAATTCATCGATAAATAGAACATAGTAGTGATATCCATTAAAAGATAGAACTGGGGAAGGACCCCATACATCAGACACGACGACTTGAAAAGGAGAAGTACAACGAGAAGCAGAACTATGAAAAGGAAACCTATGACTTCTTCCTGTTTGACAAGGATGACAAATATCATTATTTACAGAAATATGTAAAGTGGGAACACTTGACGCTAAACTGTATAAGACTGCTTTGTGAGGATGGCCCAATCTTGCGTGCCATAGAGAGGAACTAGTGATGGTGACGAGAGCTTTGGAGGACGAACTGGAAGGAATGACGATCGGATACAAACCGTCATGGCACGGACCCGAGAGAATCGAACGATTGGTTGTCCGATCCTTTATATCATATCCATGAGAAGAAAAAGAAACAGTGCAGGCATTATCAGATGTTAGACGATGAACGGAAAGAAGATTATGAGAGACTTTAGGAACATGAAGAAGAGGCGAAAGTGAAAGCTTACATTTCGGTGTGGGCAGAAGGCCATGGTCGGAGTGAGTGATGGGTAGTGACTGACCGTTGCCAACTTGAACTTGTTGAAAACCGTGGTATGGCTGAGCTGTTAACAATTGATTTGGATCATTTGTGATATGCGATGTTGCACCTGTGTCCAAAATCCAATCGGAAGAGTTGGTGCCATTCTCGGTGGCTTCAGCCACAAATGCAGATGGATTGCTTTTTGTGTAGTTGAGGTTTGTGCGATGCCCGCATTTTTCTGCAGAATGGCCAAGTTTTTCACAAATTTGGCACTCAATGCGGGAAGAAGATGTGCGACCACCTCTGGACGCGGAAAACCGACCGCGGCCCCGAGCATTGCGGAACGGCTGACGAGATGAACCTCGAGTAGAAGTTGCCGTAAGAGCCATTGATGTATCAGATATTTGAACTGACTGAAGAGCGCGGACTGCTTCATTTTCAAGATTCGCCTCCTCACTGCATAATAAAGAGTAAAAATCATCCAGATTTAATGGCTGGAGATTGGTACGAATGGCAGTTTTGAATCCTTGATACGACACCGGCAACCCATTTAAGGTATACATAATGGCGTCTTCCGAATCTAGAATGCAGCCGGCAGCCGTGAGTTGATCAACTTTAACTTTTATTTCAGCTAAAAACTGTTGCATATTCTTGCTGCCCATGGAAATAAAATTGAGGTCATTTTTGAGCTGTAAGATTTTTGACCTATTGGAAGATTGAAGCCTCTTGGCAATAGTCAGCCAGATTTCCGAGCAAGACTCAAGATGAAGCACATACGGTAGGAGAGATGCAGAAATAGTAGAGAATAAAGCGACAGCCAAGTTCTGATCTACGAGCATCCATGTAGCATATAATGGATTTGAGCTTACAGAGCCATTTTCGGAAGGCAGTTGGCGAGGAGGACGCCGAATGGTTCCATCTAAATACCCTTCAAAGCCGTTCGCACGAAAGACTTTGAGCACTTGGGATTTCCATGTGAGATGGTTTTCTGGAGTTAGTTGAATGGTAATGACATTCTTAATGGTTGACATTAAGAACTTTAGTTGAGGAGGAATGTTCACCGTCCCCAGCAGGATAGCAGCGTCTGGGAGCTGAGCGACCGCAGGAGCAGCATCAGGAGCACTGTCAGCTGTAGAAGAATTGCCGGACTCCATAAAAACAAACAGAACCTCAAGCCGTGAGGCTTATACGGGCTCTGATACCATGAAAACTGCAAAGAGAAGAGGGTTAGAATTCCAAAGCAATAGAAAACAGAGAAATGGTTTTAGCTCCTTTTCGGTTTCATTTCCCCCTCATCTTCAATGAACAGTGCCCCAATATTTATGGGAAAAGTTTACACATAAAGGGTGAAGTGGAGAGCCGGTTCTGTTACACAGAACCGTACTACCCATGTGCTCCACTTCCATACATGAGTATTTGTGGTGTGATGACTGCCGGATCATGATAACAAAAAGATCAACCGATTTTTTTTTTTTTTGATAGAATTAAGGGATCAGTTCAAGATTGAAAGGTGATAGAATGGGGAAGAGCTGAGTTTTAGCATCATTACTGTAATTTTGAGAGACATAATTGACATAACATACAACATTCAACTATAATAATGAAGAATGAGGATTCATAATGGAAGTGAAAGATAGTTTAGATAAGGTTAATGAAATTTATGCTAAGTGGCATGGTGATCTAAATACATTTTGTTGTTTTAAAGTTGTGCATATCATTTTCAATTCAGGCCGGATAACATGAATTTACTTTTGAAAAGTGATGGGTGATATGGTAAAGATAAGTTACAGTATCTGTCATGGTGGTTTCATATTGGATCCTACAAATGATTGTATTTGACATTAGAGTTCTTTGGCTCCATATATGATCAAATTTTCATATGGAAAAATAATTATGTTTAGAGATCTTAGTTATTGTAGAGCTGCTTTCCTCTTGTAATTTATTTTGAAATTTGGCACTCTTATCTGTAATATTTTATCATTGAAAAGTATAGCATAAATGCAGTAGTAGAGCTTATATGTCATCAGATTAGCCGTTCTCATTGGATTGCTTCTATATACCAATCAATTTCTTGTTGATGTGCTTTGGATTATCTTGATGTAGTTCTTAGTTTGGTACATTTTTTAATCTGTTTGCTTTCAGGATGATGTGTTGGCTGATATTTTGAACATCTGTTAGTTCCTAGAGTCCCATTATTGCTGGCTGCCGGATTTTCTATGGGCATCGGTTAAGATTTTGTTTTGGACGACTTTCTTACTGCTTTTTAAAACAACTTTTTATGCTAGAAAGCTACTTTAAGAAGCAATAAGCCTAAGCCTCTTTAGATTGCTGTTTTTCAGATATATTGATTTGTCTATTTAGAAAGCCTTCTGCAATCTCTGGAAGATGTTGATGGTTCTCTTAGTCTGTTTAGATAGAATTTCTTTCCTTTTTCATTTTTCCTTCATTTTTTTGAAGTATCATTTGCTTTGTGGACTACATCTATCCTGCTGTTGGTAGACCAATTATTCTCAGCTGAACTTTACGTATTCCATTTATCAACAAGGTATCTCCCTGGACATGATAAGAGTCTGTCTGGGATGGCTAAAGTATTTTATAAAGTTGATAGTAAAATTATTGTAGAGAAAATAATTTTACTATTATGATTGCAGAAAACTGTTTTCTACTTCATAAATCTTTAAAAAACAATGAAAAAGCAGCGAGAAAATGGTTAAAAAGTAGTCTATACATTATCAATTTTTGTATTGTAACAAAAAAAAAAGTCAGTTCATACAGTTATTTATTAATTATTTAAAATAAGATAATATGTATTATTTTTAATTATTGAAATTAAAAAAAAATAATTTTATTATGATATTGAGAGAGGGGGAGAGATAATAGTCCTATTAAGAAAAAGTTGTTTTTCTTCCATATATGTCACTATTTATTTTAAAATTTTAATGATTATAATTGAAAGAAGTAAGAAGTCTTTTGATAATTTAAAAATAACTAACCATTATTTTAAGATAAATGATAGAGTTTAAGATTCAAAATTTGACTTAGCTTGATCTGACATAGACTTAGCTAAATTCAAGTTTAATTCAATTTGTGCTTAATTTGCCTCATTAAACATCTCAATGGCTTCAATCAAGCCCAATTTTAATTAAATTTTGAACTAATCCTTAATCTCTAAGCAACATTTAAATCCCTTGCATCATATCTAATGGATCCAAATGTGTTCATGGATGATTCTTGATCATACTAGAAGATTAAGTGCTAGAACCTGAGAATTTAGGGAGAGCATGAAAAATGAAGGGAAAAAGAAAGAAAAGATTGAGATGGTAAAAAAAAATTTGAAAAATGCTCAAGCCAATCAATAATGCCCACAAAGATAATAAGTAAGTTTATTTTTTCGTCTTTTTTTTATAGATCGAGGGCTACAAATAGGACGTATATTACACGTATTATAGCTTGATAGACACCCAAATGACTTTTTAGTCTTTGGCTTTGTCCTTGGTTTTAAAATGAGTCCTATGGATGAGTGAGGCAAGCCTCTTTAGTAAGCTAATGAATTGATGAGACGAATCATATGGTCGTGCTTGTGATCGAGCTATAATCACTAGAACCTGTTAGATCCTAATCATTCTAATTGAACCCGTTAGGTTCAAGTCATTTCCAATCTGAATACAACCAAAAGTTTAATCGATTCAACCTAAGCTCGAATTTTTTTTGTCGAGTTTGATTTGGGTTATCAAATCAGCTATTAATAATACTTAAATAATTTTTTTATTTGATTAGCCTTTATGAGCACAAATATACAAATGTAGTTTGAATTAGGAAATTTAAGAACTTTGTATTTAATTTTTATGATAATTAGAAATGATCTTAATTTAAAGCTAGTTGTCAAATCGATGAAATAGAGATGCATAGTTGGAGCAAGCTTTTTTTGGCAAGCTAGTTTAATTAATTAATACATAAAATTATTCTTTGTGAATGCGGCACTTCACCCTGGATGGCCGGAGGCGGAGCGAAGGCGGAGCCGGAGGAAGAGCTTTCGAGTAGCAGTGGTGGCGGGAGTTCTGAGAACTGGGAGAGGTCAGAAGAAGGCGTTACCAAATCCAAGAACAAAGTGCTGCCAGATGGTTTTCTCGACCCTCTTCCTCGTCAGAAATCCGCCAAGCTGCAACGGTTTTCTAGTGAGTTTGTTTCCGTGGTCGCTTCTTTCATTTCTTTTTTTCCTTCAATCCAGAGTTCTACCATATTTCATTGTAAAAGAAAATCAATCGGTCTCAAGTTCAATGCGTGCGTTTTTTATTTAAATCTTTTGGAATGAAAGAAATCAATTTGGAAGGATCTGGAGATTGGAGCCGCTGGCTTTCTCTTTCGCCCTCTCCTCCCATCTTTAGTGAAAGTGAGCAACCGGCATTTTCTCTCTTGTATTTTTGCCATTTGATTGGGGGATTTAATAGGGATTTTGAGCTAAAACGGCTAAACAATGCACAGGGATTTGCTAAATTGGGAATTGAATAAAGCCGGGATTTTGGCTGGAACATCGATTAAGTAAATCCGGCCCGGGCTCAGGTTACTGGATTTTATAAGATTTAGGCTACGCTACGCTATGACACATTCAAACTTAAACATAACATTTATGTTAGGTGACGCTAGCATCTTCTTATTTGGGCCTCTTGTTTTGCATTGAAGCCCCCTTTTCAAAAACAGAGTAGTGTTTGTCTTTTTGGGTGAGTTGCTATTTCTTTGATCACAAAACAAAACCCAGTGTTCAATCTTGTCCCCTTATCGACACCCTTTCTATTTGGGAAAAAAAACATTAAAAAAAATTCAAATTGATCACTAGGGTGAGTGACAAGGCTAGATAGAATAGTTGTTCAACTTGTGATTGAAGTAGTGAAATGTATTACTTCTATAGGGAAAATGACCGCCATTGTAGACATGCCCTAAATATCCCAAAATTTATGTAGTATATTTTGATCTAAATTTATTTAAAATATTCACTTCTTTAATGGTAGACCAAATTTAAATGCTTGAGTTTAGAAAATCTACAAACACATAATTTTTTTATCAATGCGTATAAGATGAATATAATTTATTTACATATTCATTTTTTTTCTTGTTAACAATTGTACGGTCATTTGTGTTGTTGTAGATGAAATGGCCTTAAGGGGAGCAAAAGGAGAGCCACATAAGCAGGGCATGGTCATTAAGGATATCCCTCCTCTAGCTTCTACAAATTTGTGTGTTGACGCAGCGCGAAGGACTCATCGTGCAACACATCCAGATGATGTAAAGGTAGTATATATTTATTTCATATTTAGTAATTAATTAATCGATGCATTCAAATGTTAGATGTATATGTCATTTGATTTTTTACAATTAGTGCTATTGTTTTTTGTGTAGGATATAATATTGGAGGCGGCAAGCCACCTATTAATCGTTCGTGAGTGGTCAGTTGAATGTCCTCGATTTATTGCGGCCCTCCATATTGTAGGTGTAGGTTATCTTAGACACCTACGATACCGAAGGCTTGACCAACATCTACTTACAGCCTTAGTCGAGCGTTGGTCCCCTGAGACATACACGTTTCATCTGCCTGTGGGTGAAATGATAGTTGGTCCCTTGAGACATACACATTTCATCTGCTTGTGGGTGAAATGATAGTAACTCTCCAATACATTGTGATGATCTTTGGGGTACGCATTGATGGCTTACCATTAGTTGGACACCTGTAGTTGGATATGGTAGGCGATGACTAACCTGGCCTGATCAAAGATTTCGTTTGTCATAATCCAGATGAGCCAACAAAGTTAGCTAAGTTCAAGATGGGGCAAGCTAGTGTCAAAAGTTTTCTTCCATTGTGTTGGTTAAAATGACGATTCTCTACATGTTATTATGAGGATCTTAAGGACCATGAGTTATCTTGGCATGTTAGAGCATACATCCTAATTGGATGCTTCCTCAGGCCAAACACATCTGGGTGTGAAGTGCACTTCCAATGGTTGCCAGAGATAGAGGAAATCCAAAGCTTTTCTTAGTTTTCACTTGGAGGTGCCATCCTTGCACATCTTTATAAGGAGCTTTTTGAGACCACTCATCCAAGTAAAAAAACTATTGCTTGTTGTCTTCACTTATTATAGGTTTGGATTTGGGAGCACTTCCATGTGGGACGATCAACCATGCATGTTTCATCTTTAGTAGATGAATGGGGAAAGCCTAAGCTATAGGTAATATGTTAATCATGGGCCAAACTGAATTTTTACAAAAAAAAGGTATTTAAGTGTACATCTTTTGTTAAATGCTTAGATGGAATGAAAGTTGGGTTCGAGAGATATCGAATAATCTATATTTTTCTACCGTAATGAATTGGATGGTATCCAACATAGCTATGTAAACTTATATTTGTTTATTGCCATGCATTGGATGCCTTAAACCAGTACAAGTTAAATTCACTACAGGAACAATAGTAATTTCTAACAAATTTTCTAGCAGAAATTGCTCCTGGGAATCACCAGCCCAATCCCCGGCGGAAGGGGTGTGGGTATTTCATTTTTGAAATTTTCGGGGGACGTCCTAGTAGACATTTTCGCATGAAAGTTTTAGCGAAAATTTCTGCTAGAAATTTCGTTGGTTTTAAATATTATGGTGGAAATGTCCATAAAAAATTTATGCTGGCGAAAGCCCCTTTTTGACATTTTGTCCCTTCGCCATTTCTTGCCAAATAGCCTTCCGAAGCTATTTTCACATGAAACGAAGCAGTAGCTTGCCCCTCTGTCCCAATCGCGATCAGACGATTTGGACTCTCCATGCACGAACACATTCCTCATTTAAGTCCATGATTCATCTACCGATCATCCCTCGCCATTCGCCTTGTTGTAAGTTTTTTAGTTTGTCTCCTCAAAGTCTTTCTACTTTAGAAATAAGCAAAATCAGGTAAATTTTTGCATACCTCAAAATTATATTAGCATGCAAAGTACTTCCCTACCCACTACTCCTAGTTAGATTGTACTCAATGAAAGATAATTTCAATTGTAGATAAAGGCTTGCAAAATGGGAATCAACCCATCCTAATGCTCTTCATATGATTATGCAAAGGTTTACATGATTAGGTTAAGACACTTGGCTTCATGTAATGGTTCTTTATTAAATGCTATTCATGCTGCCCACCCACCCAAAAAAAATCTCTTAAAATGTAAGTCTTAGACTATAACAATTATAAAAAAATAATAATCATGTATATTTCTATGGTGAGGATCACTTAATTCAATAAAGCACATGGCCATTTAATTCATAATCCGTCAATATGTTATATTTTGAATAATTCCACTTCGAAGTCTAGGAGCTACTAGGTTAAGCTCTAAAACTACTCATCCAAAATAGATTCATCTTGACAAAGAACATGTAAGTCTTTACATATCTCAATTGGACGGATTGAACTCTTCGTGCATGGATGCATTCCTCATTAAAGTCCATTCCTCCGTCGATCGTTGCTCCAAAACTATTCATCCAAAATACTCATCTTGTTGGCACTTTCTTGTACATTTAAGGTATATGCTTTTTATGCTCAAATCACCTCAAGGTTTGATGCTCCAATTTTTTTGTGTCTTGCTTACAGAAACCATTATTGATGTTCGACCGTAATTGGAAACCAATGTTTGTGTAAACGACTTTATAGATCACATCTGATATGAATATATTTGAAATCAAAGAAATTGGTTGTATAATCGACTGTTGCCTGGATGCAAGACATTAACAGATAAATTCCTCAACAGAGTAAATTTTTTCATCAAGGCAGCCTATTAACTACTCTCCATATCAAATAGGAGGTTTTATTATCATTATTCAAAGCATAAATATCAAGTGTACCTCACACTAGATGAGGTTATTGTTGATTTATATCACAGATGATTCATACCAGAGTAGTAGTTTTTGACATCATATTGTGTATGAGCCGTATTTCAACTCTCAAAGCGGTTCATCAATAAGTTCTAACATAGTTGAGGAAGAAAATATTAAGACATATGAATTTGGTTTATAATGCAATTGAGCCACAATTTTGATAATATACGAATGAGTCACCAAATACGAAAGCGTAAAATTTCTATTATTTATTACATGCTACGCAACAATCAATTTAAGAAGGGTGCACTACATACTTAGAGTTATCTATCACTGTGAAAATGTTTAGCATAAAAATTGAATACAATGTTTCCCAAAAATATTTTAATCAATTTGTTGAGCTTCTTGAGAAGATCAACTATGAGATAATATAATTCTAAAGGATTAAGATATTTCCAGATTGGGTTTGACTGTTACAAAAATATATTATTGTGTTATCAGATACACGTTGGACTACAATAAGTATTTGTAAGAGATATCATGTCGCCATTGCAGAGATATCATGTCGCCATTGCAGCGCGCTAAAATTTTTTGAAAATTTTGAAAAAAATAGAAATCAAAAGGATGTGCTAGTGACTCGATTGTTTTATTTGCCTATTATTGCCATACTGTGACGTTTGTATACATTAATGAGCTTCTTTGCACGCATGAGATGACATAACAAATATATCTCACAAAGAGGTATTTTAACTTATCCGTAAGAAATTGAGGCCTGAAAAACACTTTGAACATTCACATCTTTTGTCGCAGGACTAAGAAATGTAAAAATGAGGTTATGCGTAGATGGTTTTACTCCATTTAGCCAAACAATGTCACCTTACTCACGTTGGTCAGTGATAGTCACCCCTACAGTCTTTCACTTAAAATGTGTATGACAATATCTTGCATGTTTCTTACACTTATCATTTCATGTGCACATAATCTAAAAGCCAAGATAAATGTGTTTTTGCAACTTTTGATCGATGATCTTAAATTGTTGTGGGAAGAAGACGTGATTACATATGATATTTCTATCAAATAGAATTTCATCATGTGGGCAGTGTTGCTTTAAACAATTAAAGATTTTCCCACATACGATATGCTAGCAAGTTGGAGCACTATAGGCAGACAAGTTAGCTTGTTCATATTACATGGAATTCATTAAATCGTTCACTTTGAAATATGAAGGCAAGAACACTTGGTTGAATTATCACTGTATATTCTTACCAACAAATCATTCATTTTGGCAAAACAAAGATACTTTCACCTAAAATATAATCGAGATGTTACAATCTCCAACCAAGCTAACCAGTGATCAAATACTTGAAAGAGTCAAATTGATACGCACAATCATCGATGCACTGTCATTAGCTAAGTACAGAGTGCCGAGATATGGATTGAACTAAAATTTGATCAAAAAAGTATTTTTTTTGTTGTCATATTGGAGATCAAATTTGATCAGACATAAATTATATATCGTGTACATTGAGAAGAACATTTTGATAACATCTTCAACATAGTTAAGGATATAAAGGGAAAATCAAAAGACAATGTAAAAGTAATGATGGACTTGAAGGAAATTTGCATGAGAAATAATCTAGAATTGAGGCATGGTGGAAAATGAACGACTTTTAGAGTCAAAAGTTCCCTTCATCATTAGTTTATAACAGTGACAGTCAGTTTGTGAATGGGTGTAGAGTCTAAAGCTATCCGATGGATATGCTTCTAACCTTAGTAGATGTGTTGACATGAGATTGGGATGATTATTAGGATTGAAAAATCATGATTGCTACATCTTCTTATTATGTCTAATGCCTATTGCCTTCAGTTACCTGTCGAATTTAGTTTTAGATCCTTTAATCGAACTAAGTAGTTTTTTCAAAGAATTACGATCATCAAGACTGAATGAAGAATCTTTAGTCCTTAGTGAACATAATATTTTGTTCATGTTTTTCAAACTTGAGAAAATATTTTCTCTCAGATTTTTTGACTCCATGGAACATCTTCTGCCTTTGTCATATGAGATTAGAGTTGGTGGCCCAGTTCAATTTTGGTGGATGTATTCATTTGAGAGGTGACCTTCCTTTTGGACTAATTTTTTCTTTAGTATTTTGAAGTTTTAATTGATTTTTAAAGTTGGGCATGCTGTGCAGGTATCCAAACAAACTTAAAAACTGTTAAGAATAAATCACGGCATAAAGGATTGATATGTGAAGCATATCTCTCGTACGAGACAATCCAATTTTGCTCATACTATTTTGACCCAATGAACAATCATCAAGGCTGAAGGTTACCTCAAAATATGAGTATATCCCGATCATGGTCATTCTTAAATTATATTTGTATTTAATGCACGGGGTGCGCCAGCATGAGTTTTAACCCCACACTATTTGAACGATATGGAGATTAGAGTTGCTATGTTGTACACCATACTTAACTGTTAAAATTTGAGTCATATCTTGAGTAAATAATTTAATTTTTTCAATAGTATTGTGTTACATTAATTGCTGATATACACAATTTACTGGAAGTTTAAAAATGCTTTGACTACATCTTCAACATCAGAAGCTGAAAAGAAAATTGAAGCTAACTTCCCAAATTGGTTCTAGTATTCGATTAGCCATATGATGAAAGGAAGGAATTTAAAGAACATTTTAATTAGAGAGATCTACTTATTCCCCTATTCAGGTTCACACTCAAGGCAGTAATATTCAGGAGCAAAGATAATGGATCTAGTTTGGGGACCGATGAGATTAGTCAAATGCTGGTTTACTTTTTCTTGTAAATAGTTACAAATTTCAAATTAAATATCAGTGTGAAAATCGGAAGATAAAAAATTGTAGTGTATCTGTTAGAGGGAATAACCATATAGTTAATGAGTGCGAGTACTATGAGGACTTGCAGGAGGTTTTAGAGTTACAATATTCAGGTGAAGGAAATAACCTATCTCTTTAATTGTGAGTGATTTGATTAAGTGCAAAACAGAGGTAGAGTACATCCACTATATGACATTACAGAAATATAACAGGGAAGGAAATATGAAAAGTCTGACCCATTTGTCATTGTTGGTCAGGCAAGTCAAGTCTACTTTGCTAGCTACCCGAGTTAAGTGCTATCTAAATAAGATTGGCTTGTAGTAATCAAGACAAAATCCAATGAGATTATTGTGAGTAGCATGACATTACCAGCAACACTTCAACAGGAATGTATGTGAAACTTTAAAGAGCCTTCTAACAATGTTGATGATCAAGTTGTATCAAATGAGAGTGAGTTATAGTTTGAGGAGATAGATGTTGATGTTGAGGAAAATAGTGAGGACGAAGTTGTTGGCGAGGATGTGGCGTGGTATGATGGAAGTCAATCAAGTGAGGAGCAGTAGTAGAAAGATAAATATAGTTAGTAAACAATATTTTCTTATTTATTTTTTTATCGTACTTCTTCTATGCATGTTTTCCTGCAACATTTCCTTAGTTTTCCGCGGTTCTTATATGCATATTTCTACAACATCTTCTATATATAGTTTTAAACAGTTCTTATATGCATTTTCTATTACGACATTGTATTAGTTAGTTTTTTGCATCATTGTTTATATGTATAATTTTTTTTTTCAGCATTTCCTACATTGAATTATTTTTTTGAAGTATTCTTTTTTTTTTAGATGGCTTTCGGTGATGAGCTCCCTCACAAGTCAATCAAAAATATATTTGTTAGGCCGAAGAAGGTGAATGGTAGTCCATCTAGTGTGGCTAGACCATCTGTGGGGGCCTCTTCGTCACATATTGCCACCCAGACCCAACCGAGTCCGACCTTACCTACTCCTCCTGCTGGTAGTCAATTTTATTCCCCAGATCTCCGATTTCCTTTACCATACCCTATGCATTGTACTTTTTTTTACCCTTACTATCCTCCATCATCTCAGGGAGTCCCATCCACCTACCCATATTCGTTATACACCCAACCATTCTACTACCCATCACCCCCTCTGCCATTTCCAGGAGGACCATTCACTTTTATGAAGCAGAGACCTGAGACTACATCATCACCGACGACAAATGGTCGTATGCTCATAAAGCCTGAGGGCGACACGTAAGTAATGAATGGTTTAGTTTATTCAAATAATTTGAGAAGTAATTTTGAAATTTCTGTTTTATGTAGCTTTCATCCGTCAGAGAAGCCAACACATAAAATAGAGGACATCATACGGAGCAAGTTTGATGCTCCATATGTATCTTGGAAGAAAATACCCCAGGAAGTTCGGGACATATGGTTCAAAGAATTTGAGGTTAGTAATAAACACTAACATTTATAAACTTACAGTTTAATTGTGTTAACCCATATTATTTTATGTTATAATACCGATATGCAGAGAGATTTTTACTGGTTACCGCAGCATAATGCAAAGATTAGAAAGAATTTTGAAAAGCGTGGATCGACTCTCCTTCGAGACATGTTTACATATATTAGGAAGTCAGGAGAAAGAGCGCTTTGGATTAGTGAGAGTGTGTGGGATGAGTTGACCAGAATTTGGGCCAGCCTAGATGATAGTAAAAGGAGGGATCAAAATAAGATGAACAGAGCTTCAGACATTAGGGGCATGGGTAATGCCCTCCATAGTGGCGGCTCAGTTCCACACACTAAGAATAGAAGACGATTGGTAACAATTTTTACATATATTTCATATCATCTCATATTTAAATATTTTTTTAGGTATGCGTACTAATCTAAATATAATGCAGAAAGAAATACTGGGCAAGAAACCTACTGTTGATGCGTTGAACACTCGCACCCACCAACGTCGAGAGGACCAACAGTGGGTGGATCATAGAACGAGGAGGGCCTTTGTGAGTTTCGAAGTTTTGAATATTACTAAAAATATTTTTAAGTAACATAGATACAATGATTATATTTATCTTATATTTTTCAGGAAGAGTATACACGACTTCGAGAGAGCCATAATGTTGCTAGTGAGGGGTCCTCCGCGGCATCAACGAATTGTTCTGACTACAATATATGGTCACAGGAAGTAGGCAGAATGCATAAGGGCAGAGTTTATGGATTAGACTCACGGGCTCATGCATTTGAGGGACAGGCCTCTGGTTCATCAAGAATCTCAGCTAGTAACCAGGAGGGGTTAGTTAGCCAACAAGTTACTGCCTTGACAACAGAACTAGAGCAAGTGCGAAAATCACAAAAAGTTATGCAGATGCAACAAAGCCGAATGTTGGAGGAGCTACACAAAATTAGAGAACAGTTCTGTGAAAAACAAACTGCAGAGACAGAGGAGTAGAGCATGAATTATTGTAATTTTTTGTTGGTTTTTTTAATGTTTAAGAACGGGTGGATTATTGTTGAATAATATACTCTAGTTTATATAGTACTGTATTTGATCATCAAATAATGATTTTTGAATGATGTTATTGTGGGAATGTTTAATTTTTTTTACTAATTATGCTGATTTATGTGTTTGATACTTTCTTTATGGGCTATTGTAGAATGATTGACAAAAGGGTTTTTTTTTTATGTGCTACAGTTTTCCCGTAGTTTTTTTCATTGTAAAATCGATATGACAAATTTTGGCGGAATTTTCCGCAAGAACATCCGACGGTAATCTGCCTGAATTACCGGCGGGAGATTCCGCCAGTTAACCCAACAAACCTAGTTTGAACCCCGACGGTATTCCGTCGGAAAATTATCAATACGAGGAGGATGATGAACCTATTGTTGCTCCAGAGACCAAGGATGATACTATGTCATCATGTACTGGTCCTAACATTGCAGGTTCTAACCCATGCTTGATAGATTCAGTGCAGCTCGATCAACAGGAAGCAATAGTTCAGCAAGTTCCTTCTCCACAATTCCTGCCAAATGCAAAAATGATGGTTTCACAAGTAAGAAGTAATCATTCAATAACAATATATCATTCTCTATCATTGTTCATCATGCATGCCTATACCATATACCATTTACTGTTAGTTTTTTACACTATCTTAAGCATAGAATATAGTTCTTATTGTTGTGACATAGCCATGTAATGTCATGTGAGATTAGAGAACTGCTGAAAACATTTCCTCCACCCATCTCTTTTATGTGCAAACATTGAATGCTCGTCTCTTGATTTTGATTGCAATGCTGGGGAGCCTGGTGCTAGCTCATTTGTGTCAAAAAACTAGAGTGAAAGTCAAATATAATATAATCTCAACAATGCAGAGTTCTTTCATTATAATATTAGTATCTTAAATAGAACATCTTCCTTCTTTTTTTGTTTTCATACTCCACTCTGAGGAAGCTGTAGTATGGAATCTGCATATGCTCATTGTGTTGAGGTGAGCTGTATCTCTATCGGAGTAGAATTGCACTAAAAAGGTTTTGCATTAGGGGTTTATCCCCCATATAAGGGGGTAGAAGGGCTAAGACCAACATAATGATTTTTTTTAAAGAATTAAGGGATCAGTTCGAGATTAAAAGGCGATATAATGGGATTGATTAAAAGCGCTTAGTTTTAGCATTATTCGGATAATTTGGGAAATATAGTTGACATCAGATATAACTGATATGTCATAAAATATTCGCCTTGATCAAGCATGAATATCAATGTAAATATGAGTTGAAGGCTAAGGAGCTCTTGCATTCCCTTGCTAGTACCACCAATAGACGAATTTCTTCTCGGTCACTGATCGCGGCCGAACTTTCGCCCGTTCTCTATCAATCACCGGATTTCGACTTGCTCATTGACTGTCATTGGATTCCTTTCCAACAATCAACCATCACCAGATTTTTGCACCAAGAGTACCCGTCTGAAGATTGTCAAAGCTCTTTAACACATTGTATTCTCCCTGTCCTCGGGATAAATGACGAATTAACTTTTGTAATCTATTAAAAAATTAGTGGAATTGTTTCAACTGGGCAAGGCCTCGTGATTTTTCCCTTTTCAGAATTTTCCACGTAAATATCTTGGTATTTTTTATCATTTGTTTGTTTGCTAAAATTTTGTACATAACTAAAACAAAGCATTTTCAATCTCCCGTTGTAAAATTTTTAGCTCACAACAGTTTGATGCTGTCTGTGAGGACATTCTCAACATCCTTCTTAAATTGCCAACAATCAACCCTTCAATCAAGAACAACAAAAATGGGTGATCAAGTCCCCCTAATTCTCTCTTTAGAGGATTGCATGTGTAAAGATGGAAGAACTTCAGAGTCAAATCCTTCAGCTATTGGAGGAAGCCGACCAATAAAGGATATCATCACAAAACGATAAATCTCCTCTTCCACAATATCATCATCCTAATATGGTTGAACAATTTGAAGATGTCCATCATCACGCCAAAGCCCCTCATCCACTTAAGCATCCTCATCTCAACAACACTTAACTTAATATTATGAATGGCCAACATTCTGCGCCATAAAACATTGCAGGTCTCACCATGTTATAAAATTTTCCCTTAAGATTGAGTGGTACTGTTCTATCACACAACAAACTCAAAACATTCTTCCACTTCAACCATCCAACTTGAATTTTATATTTTTCAATGGTCGGTCTCTTCGTGTTGATTTACATGGAATGGCTAGCTCATTTATTTAGTGGCTATGGGATCATTTTTATTATATTATAATATATTATTTACATTTTAATATGAAGTAGTAATTATTTGCTTTCTTAAAAATAATTAATTTTTAAGTTTATTGAATATCAAACAAATCGTTAAGCTTCCAAATTTTCTTTTTGATCCAAAATGAAAATAAATATAATTTGTTTTTCTAAATTTCATGGGGCATATATATATATATATATTAAAATTTTGTTAATTACTTATAATGGTTGTATAAATAATTTTATAGTTGTTTTTATAAATAATTACAGAATATTAAAGTTTCATTTGGAAAGATTTTTTTTAATTATTTTTAGTTAATAGAATAATTTTTAAATAAAAGTTTTTTAAAATTAAATAAAAATTTACTTTTTTTTTGGGACATTTAGGTCATTTAAGATAAACTCACACACACAACCCATACACATGGACTCGAACCTTAGATTTCTTAGTTAGAAGCCTAAGCTTTCAACCAATAGGCCAAGGAGAGTTGTGTTAAAAATTTACTTTAAAAAACATTAAAAAAGCGGTTTCAGAATCGCGATGCGCTCAGTGTAACAGCACTTCTTCATCCGTCCGATCGACGAAATTTGTATCGGACGGCCACCGAACTCGACAAGAAAGACGCGGGAAACTGCGTCGTTAGTGACACAGTGTTCGGCGTACTCGCTCCTCGGTCTTATAAAACCCTGTACCCTCCAGTCGGAGAAAAGCGCCGGCGAAGGCTAATAAAACCCACCGTCCTCCTCGTCTTTCCGGAGCAACTAAAACTCGTTTGGACCTATGGACGCAGACGGAGTAGAAGTGGCGCCAGAGGAACAGATTTATTCGAGTCGCAGCAGTAGTGGCTGTGATTCTGAGAAGTGGGAGACCTCGGAGGATGAAGGCAGAGGAACTAAATCCAAGAGAAAGGTGCTGCCTGAAGGCTTTCTCGACCCTCTTCCGCCTCAGAAACCCTTTAAGCTTCCAAGACTTTCTGGTGAGTTTATTTCCGTTATCTGTTGGTTCCTTTTTTTTTTTTTTAATTTCTTTCTTTAATTCACTCTCTGCTCTCTCCTTGTAACCCTAGCGAAATTGAGCTGCAGGCATTTTTTTTTTCTCCTGTATTTTTGTTATTTGATCGTGGGATTTGAGAGGAATTCGACCATTACCGGCCAAACAAATAAAGGGTTTGCTAAATTCCGAATTTATTCACTGCCAAAATTCAGTAAATAGCGCAACACTTCTTTTTAGCGGTTTGAAAACATCTGAAGCTGTTTAAATTGCTAGAACTAGCAGTGGTTTAAATCACTTCTATATTCAACGTATAGATACAGTTTAAATTGCTACTACAATTCGTCTTATTTCACGTAATTCGTGAAATTACCTATCCTTAAATTCATTCCTTTTCCTCTGAAATTCCCCATTTCCCTCCGAAAACCCTAGCTTCTTTCCCTCGACACTACTATTCTCCATAGACACCGGCTATCAATTGTTCTCTGCCTCCGGCTCTTTGAGAAAAACCTCTTCCCCACCAACGCTGCCTAGGTCCTTTGTGTTCTCCACGCCCCTTCTCCACCGACGCCACCAACTCTCCTCCTCCGGCTTTTTAAGTTCTCGACACACTTCTTATCCACTGATGTCGCTGACACTTTTCCTCTGGCTTGTTTAGCAACCCAGATATTGTTCTTCCTCTTATTTTATTGGTAAATATTCTCATTTTCAGTCTCTTTCTTCGGCATGCAAGAGTTGCACTTGCTATGGTTTCTTCTGAAGTAAGGAATCTAGTAGTTTTATATTATGCAATATACTTATCAAAGTGCATGTTTTATATCACGCAATATATTCGTCAAACTAAACAATGACATTTCACTTGCATTGATGATATTTTTATCCATAAATCATCAAAATTTTAAAGCAAGTTCTCTAATTGCAAAAGATCATGAAATACAATTGAAGTGAGATAAAAATCACACTAAAATTTAGGCTAGGAGAAGGCACACTTGTGAAAAAAGATAAAATATGATAAACCCAACATAACCACTATTTACGTGAATATCCTTTGAGTGGGGCGTCCAAATCTTTTCTCATAGAAATCAATGAAATATATTTGATGCTATGATCTATGATATACATGGTAATTTCACTATAACTATTAAATTCAAATTCATTTTAAATGGTTATTAAATATGTAAACAAGCTAGTAATATGAGTTTAAAAGCTAGTGTTTCAATGATAATCAAAATATATTTGATGCTATGATCTATGACAATGAAGATCAATTCCATGTCACAAGTCTCAACTCGCTCATTAAGTACTTGGCTATTTTCCTCGCCTCTCATGCTCTACCCTCTCCTATTTCTCCTTCAAGAAACATAGGTTTTATTTACTGCTTGTTTTGCAATAGTCACTCCAACTCCCTAAGGCCGCTTCATCTCCGGTGAGTTACAACTTAGCTTTTCACCAATCAAAATTTCAAGGTGAAAAGCTTAGGTTCCATTTTATTCATTTTTTTTTATTCTATTTGTAGTTTAACATTCATGATGCTTTGCATAATATTTAAAAAACATGTATCATGTATAGATGAAAATATATGGATATCTATATAAAACTTAGGCACAATTTTGTTGTATTTGTTTTGTTGGATCAATAATTAGTCAAATTAGCTGTTAAATTGTTACATTTGATGTTAGTAGAAACATTCTTTTGAGGTTCTTATTATCTACACCTAGCATAGATGTTAAATTGTTATTAGTATCACTAAGCATAACTTTCATATGAATTTGAGAAATCTAACAATATTGTATATTATGAGTACCTCATACATAGGAGACATGATATTCTTAAGTCAAACTTGTATACATTAATCATGGAAGAAGATTTTTATGATGAAAGTAAAGGGTACAATTTTCATATTACTAAGTATATTTGGACTCAGATCAAGGTATTATTTGCTTCATCGAGTTTATGTAAATATAAGGTAATAATGATTGATTGAATTGTATATGAATTAAAGCAATTTCTCAACTATTGTCAATGGTTTAAAGCTGCAGATTATTTTGGAAATAGATAATGTTGGATAGACAAATCAAGATGGAGTTGTGAATACAATGAAGGAGTTGAAGATTTTATATTTCGCTAGTTGGAGTAAGAATATATTAGGAAAAATATTGTGCCCATGTGAATCATGTATCAACAAATACTTTTATTTAATGAAAGATGTCAATGAACAATTTATTGCTAATAGATTTTTATTTGACACATTGTTTGGGATCTACATATTGTCTTTGGATGTGTAGGAAATGAAACTATTGGTTGATGTGAAACAAACATGCGATGGAGTTACTTTAAGAAATTAAAGAGAGCAATTTTAACAAAATAATACAAAATAAAATTGTCATTTATAGCAAAAGATTGATCCTTGGAATTCGTGGGTTTTAACTTGCTTAGGCTAAGAAGAGCGGAGTCGATTAACCAAACAATTTTAAGAAAATGCAAAGATCAACTGTAAAACTACGATGATAAACAAGAATCCTCGATTTAATAATGAGAACTTTCACCTTTGAAGCCCAACGCTCAACTAGTCTAGACTTTAGCGGAAGAAGAGTCTCCACATTAGAACCGAGGTCATTCCGAGGAAGAAGGAGCCTAAGATCGTCGTTCTTGGATAGGTGGCCGGAGTGGTGGAGGATGGTGGTCGTCCAAGGATGATCCAACGTCCCTTTGATCTTTGCTCGTCGATTACATCAACTAATGTGTACTAGATGCGGTCGATGTAATCTTCAATAGTGTCGTCGAAATCGAAGCCCACGTCAAAGAACGGTGATTGGAGGATGTCGACTTGATCTCGATCGTCATGCACAAACCCAAAGTTCCATTCGGGTTCCGCCATGCATCCTCGCCAAGGGTTGACGGAGTACCCAAGATGGGAGAGGGAGTCGCCGGCCAGCCTCCCCCGACCAACCCACACCCCATCCCGCCGAGCTGCAGGAGCCCTCCGCACGTCCAATCTCCATCCGGTTGCACCCTTGTCGGCCACGCACACAAAAGCCCTTCCTTACCTGCCAACGATCCACTTCGCTCCCCCGGCCTACAACTCGACTCCCTCGTATTGTTTCCCTTTTAGCTAATTAGAATTATCATGCTCTTTTAATGACTTTCCTAATTAATTCACTAATAAATGGGGATTAATTAAGGGAGTTACAAATTTGAAATTCAAATTCCTCATCCAATTTTCTTTCAAGAAAGGAGTTACATGACAATAATTAAAATCTGATTAAATAACTAATGTAATATAGATTTGTTTGTTAATTGTGGTCCCCACCTATTTAATTCAAGCTCTCTCTCTCCCATATGGCCGGCCACCCTTCTCCTATTGTTTCTCTCTTACCTTTGCCACCTCCTCATCACCACTTACACTTCCTTAATACTCCCTCTCTCAGATTTAATTTCAGTTTTCAAATTTTTATTAATTCAGATTTCAAAATCTGAAGTTTTAGATTAATTCTCTACCTCACATCTTCTGCGGAGGCCCCGCCCAATCCTCTCTCCCCCCATAATTGGGTAACAATAATTTCGCGTCCCCCCCTCTGGCGATGGATTTGACCATGAGGAGGAAAACTCTGTAATTGGTAACTTGGGTTTTGTGCATGTACGATCGATCCGCCAAAATAAAAGAATCGACCATCAAATCTCATATTGGAACTCACACCAGTAGCGATATATTAAGATGAACGGTGAGGCTTCGAGGTGTCAGAGAACGTACACTCGTTTGAAGAATTCCACACCTCGACCCGCCATCTAGGTACAACACCCTCCCATTAAGTTGATGTAATCGACGAGCCACAAGATCGAAGCGGCGTTGGATCTATCCTTTTGTGAGACGCCACCACTCATCCCTGACACCCTTCCAAACCACTCCGGAACCAACCTACTAACAAATTGAATACGACGATCTTAGGCTCCTTCTGTCCTCGGAATATGACTTCGGTTCTTAGATACTGCTGACGCTACTTCTTCTTCTCCGCTAAAGTCTATGACTTAGTTGGTTTGGGAAAAATGATTGGAGCTAATATCAAAAACCAAGAGTAAGAGTTCTCTTATTTTAATTTATCGATGATTCTTGTTTTTTATTCGTTTTTCGTATTGAGAAAGCTTTATCAGTTGACCCTCCCCTTCCTCCGCATTCTTCCCTTCCAAATCTGTTCCGCCCGTTTATAATTCTCCTAGAAATCGACTCCGCTCTTCTTATGCTCTAAGCAGTTAAAACCTCAACCCCGCGAAAATAATCAAGGATTTAGAGTCTTTTGTCTATTATAAGTAGAAAACAAAAAACTTATATTTTGATTATTTTGTTAAAATTGCTCTCTTTAATTTTCTTAAAGTAACTCCATCGCAACCTCGTAGTTAGAATATCACATAACAAACACGAGTAAGTAAAAATACCTATTTTTCCTTGAGCAACAATTCAAAAGAACCAATCACCAGATTAATACATCAATATTTTGTAGTTCCCCACCAACCCAAGCCTGTTGATAAATAAAAAAATCTATTTGCAATAAATTGTTCTTTTTGATTCGCATGGCGAGTTTCGCATCCTTCACACATATATAAGTTTATTGTTTAAGATTTACATGATTTCCACATGGGCACATATATATTTTTATACCTAATATAAATTACTTACTTGGTCCAACTTATGGAAATAAAAAATATAACTAAAATCTCCTTCATTAGTAATATGCGACCAATCTCCATCTGATTTTGTGTCTATCTCACATGTATCTATTTCCACAATATACTCTGTCAGCTTAAAGCTCATTGTCATTAGTTGATGAAATAATTAATTGACTATTTATATTCATATATTCCCACATTAAACATCAAAATCATTTATTCCACCATTATATTATAACCACTAAACTCGATGACAAAGCAAAGACAGATTTACCTGTATGCCTGACCGTCCAAATATACTTAGTATTATGTAAAAATTGTAAC